TTCATCTTTGAGATCAAAGACTTGTCTGTTTAGCTCCTTATTCCATTCACTTTGAGCATCCAAAGTTCTTTTCAAAGATGAGATTTCATCTTTTTGAGCTTGATTATCAGTCATTAACATACAATACTTACTCTTGAGTCTGTTACATTCTTCTTGAAGATTTGTTAACTCATGCAGGAACTCAGTTTTTATTTCTTGTCTATCGATATCTGATTCTGAGTCAGAGATTACCTAGTAGCATGAAGGAACAAGTGGACTATGACTGCATGAAGACTGGTTGTCACTTTCATCTCTGGTTGCAAATGCCATGTAAGCCAGATTTTTTACTTCTTGCTCTTCTTCTGAACTAAAGTCACTCCAGGAGGCTGCAAGTGCTTTCTCCTTGGCTTTGGTGTTAGTAGGGCACCTTGATCTCATATGTCCTGACTTTCCACACTTAAAACAAATTGTTAAATCCTTCTCATTGGAAGACGTAGCGTCTTCCTTATCAAATCTGAACCTTTCACGACCTTCAGAAAGTCTATCATAGGATTTAGGAGAGTTTTTATCAAAATAACTCCTGTTTGATACATATCTTTCATTTGCTTTAGTAGGACCTCTCTCAGTTCCTTCCCTATCTCTTTTATAGTCATAAGAGTGATTATTGAATCCTCTGGAATCATGAAACGACCTTCTTGCATGAAAATCTTTTTTCATCTTGAGCATCCGATGAAATTTTCTACTGACTAAAGCAAATTCTTTCTCAAATTCCTCTCCCATATCAACTTCAGAATCACTATCACATTCCTGTGCTTTGAAGGCTATAACTTTTCTCCTCCTATGATCATTTTTGTTCATTTGTATTATAACTTCCTCGTGACTCAACAACGATCCTATTAGTCTTTCTATAGATAGTGCCTTTAAGTCTTTGGCCTCTTCAATTGCTGTACGTTTAGGCAGCCATTCTCTAGGCAGACACCTCAATATTTTCCTGACTAAATCCTTGGTTTCAAAGACTTTTCCTAGTCCTTTTAACCTATTTATCAAATCTATTGAATCTTTTGTACATGCTAGAAATTGACTCTCTTGAGCTCATTTCAAACGATTCATATTCATTTAGTAGCACATCTATTCTACTTTCTCTAACTTCAGACGTACCTTCATGGGTGGTTTGCAGCGACTCCCATATCTCCTTGGCTGACTCACATTGAGCCACTTGACTCCTTTCTTCAGGACTTAGTGCAGAGAACAGGATGTGCATAGCTCTGGAATCAAGCTGAGAGGAGATTTTGTGTTCTTCTTTCCAGTCTTCTTCATCTTCGTCTTCCATGGGAATTGGTCCTTTTTCTGACTACTGCCCATAGTTCTCCATCAACACCACGAAGGTAAATTCGCATCCTTTTCTTCCAAACGGTGTAGTCCGTTCCATCAAACCATGGAGGGTTTGTGTTTGCTGAGTAAGCGACTGTTGTTGAAGATGATCATGACATCTCGAGACCTTCTCTTTAGCGACGATTAATCCCACAAAGAGTAGGCTCTGATACCAATTGTAAACTCAAGATATAAGATGGAATGGCCAAGAGTCGAGAACAATTTGTTTTAATGACTCTCTTGAAATTGAAAGAAAAGACACTTTTATTCAAATTGCAAATTTAGTACAGAGAAACCTAGCCAAGCCAAGTAACTTGGCTCTTTCGATAAACAAACACTCAACACACTCACTTCCCAAGATTGAATCACCCAGTACACTCCCATACACTGTGATTCTATCTACTGAAGTAATCTCATCCTTTGACCCAAAGTGGAAGAGATTCAAACCCAGAAACTCTCACAGCTTTCTATCAAAGTACAAGTTTACAAATAGACAGAGGGCTTACAATTTATACTACTAGCAAAGGATAACCGTTGCCTAAGGGAGAGCTTTCCCTAGCCTTCATCATGCTTCCTTATAGAGACGGTGCTAGGTGGAGCGGATGCTGAAAAGTTGAAACTGTCGTGAGAAGGAAGACGACTGAGAAGGATGATCTGAGAGATCATCAATCGAGGAGTCCAGTTTTGACTTCGAAGGATGATGTCTTTGAGAAACGGTGTCGTTGTTGATTAAGCACGTTAAGAATAGTGGTGGTAAGACGTCGTCGTAGTGAGTGCTCCGTGGATGCTACGCCGTTTTGTTAACAGTTTGGTGCCACAAGAACACTGACCACACATACAAGAGTGAAGCGGAGCCATGGACTGTACCTCATACCATAGATTACACATTTGATTATAGAATGCGGGGACAATTAACTTTTCTTGAGGAAGGCGACTAATACGACGATGGAGCTCGTATACCCGCGGAGCACTACTCTGAGCAAAATGCTCCTTCAGATCAACCCAAACTTCTCTGGTGGTGTGAGCATAACGAGTACCACGACAAACTTGTTTATCCATGGCCGAGGCCAGCCACCCCTTAACCATGGCATCGACACGACGCCAACTTCGCAGTTCAAGTGGATCGGTAGTTGGCGAGAAAGAACCATCAACAAACCCTAGCTTATTCTTAGCAAGCAAGGCGTTGGTCATATCATGAATCCAATTAATATAATTAACCTCGTTCAACAATTCACCTACCATATTAGGACTATCGGATTGACTTATGAAATACGATGAGGTGAGATCGTTGTCAAGCTTCGAAGAACCACCAGATGACCCGATGGGTGCCTTGCCGGACGCGGTCTCCTTCTTCTCATCATCGCTCATCATGAACTAACACATTGACGATCTTGATAGCTCTCATACCATGTAAAATAAATAGAACGCGAAAAACGAAATAACATTATCGATTTATGTGATATCCTCGTTTGATGTGAACGAGACTAATCCACGAAAATGCTCAACAAGAGCTTCTCGGCTGAACTTTTATTAATCAACTCACACACTCAACTTACTTGCTACAGCAGCATACAAGGAGAATATATATACCTCAAGTCCTAACCCATACATCAATTACACCTAGGGTTCGGGTTAGGTAAAACTTCAGTTTACTACCACCAACAATAACTAATAACAATTAAGTCCAGCACTAAGTCATCATATAAACCGCAACACTGATTTTCATCGAATAAAACTCTCACAGCAGTGGACAATATGGTTCTTCGTATAGGGGGGGCAACAAGATGGATCTAAATTAAAAGATCAATTTACCATTGGGTTTGTTTAGGGGTGTTCAAACGGATTGGTTACTGTGGTAACTATATTAACCGGCAGTGTTCGGTTAATTTGGTTTGGTTAATTTTGATAATTGGTTTGGTTTGGTTTGGTTAAACGATTTAGTTTATTTGGTTTAGGTGGTTTGGTTTGGTTTCAACACTCCTAACCAATGAAACCAACTAATCAATTAATGATACACCTAATATACAAAATTATTTATACTTCCATGCAACCAACCAAACCAAACTTTCGTGATTCCCTATTTTATTTCCATGTGCACAACAAACCAAAGCATTATGGGTACAAAATTAAATGTGCATCCTATTATTAAACCAAACCATTTTGGGCAGCTACTAAACTTTATGATGACATACAATACCGTGAAAGCCACCTCAAACTATGTATAGTTTAAGTGTTTTGTAGGAGAGCTTATATATAATGAATCATGGATGGTTAGCCATATTATTATTGCTTATATATAATGATAGTAATAATATATGGTTATATTTTATTCATTAACAAGATAATTATTTTCATGTAAAGTTATGTTATTTGGTTAATCCGACTAACCAAACCAATTAAACTTTGGTTTGGTTAATTTGGTTTTCATGTTAATTTGGACGATTTGGTTAAGATATTTTATTTCATGGTTAATGGAATTTAGGCGTAATTAGTTTGGTTATTACCACGATAACCATTTGAACACCCCCTAGGTTTGTTAATAAATATTCACTTGTCAATAAAAACTTAGCATCGGCTTCAAGCATCAGTTTGTTTAGTACACTCTAATTCAAGCAATACTAGTGTTCAAGTGTGGGATTCATATTCGTCATAGGAATCACATCACAAGCTAATATTGTCAATAATCAAATGATCTCAATTATTAGAGTTGTTGAAAGTATTCAATTATGAATCCTATTCCATTTACTAACAAATCTTAGACATACTACATTAACATTAAACCCCCATGGCACTTATTAAAGACACTTAGATTTCGTCCTTTCGTGCCAATATCGATCTTTTATCATTGACGTGTAAATAGTCAAAGAAAATTATAGGTGGTTAACAACTTTAATCTTACGACGCCAACATGTAGACAATAACACCGAAATGTTAAATTGACATCAGTCTTCTAGCATAAATAAAAAGAAACGTTGTGAATTAGCCCTAAAAACCAACTCCAACATACCCACACCAACTTATCTCATCTATCATAGTTAGCTGCAAACAAACACAACAATCATTATCTGTTTTTAGAACAATGCCATCAACATTCACAATCACAAGTTCACAACACACTTTCATCTCGTTTTTACCCACCAATTTTATACCATTTCCCTTTTAAACAGCTGGTTCTTGTTAGTGGGCGGAGTTTAGTGAAATTGGGTTGACAGCTACCGGCGATTAATTAACCATTTATCATTGGAATCCCTTTGTTAAGAGGATTGGACAAGGAGAAAGATTTAAGCTTTGCCTTAATATGTTATCTCATTTACCCCACCACTATAAAAGGTTTGATTTTTTATTTTTGCTGCTATAACTTCACCTTGACCATGCTTCGTAGGCTTCGGACTGGGCTCAGGCCTCTCCACTCCGGGTCTCGCCCCAACTACCAAGCCCGCGTCTGCGTGATTGGGTCTCCGTTTAATTTATTATTTCATTCCGGGTCCGGGTCCGGGTCCGGATCCGGCTGCTCCACGCCTTTACTTCCTCCTCCTCTCTCCCAATCCCAATCCCCATTATCCAATCTCGATCACGGCCGTCGTCGTCGTCGTCTCCATTTTCCCTACCACTTCCTCTCCACCCTCCCGGCCAACAGCAACAATCCAGCCATGAACGGCGACGCCTCCCACTCCAAGAAGAAGCCGAAGCTCTCCCCGCCCGAAATCTCCGCCGAATTCTCCCACCACGACCCCGCCGTCGCCCGCATCAACAACGGCAGCTTCGGCTGCTGCCCGCGCTCCGTCACCGCCGCCCAGCGCGACTGGCAGCACCAGTTCCTCCGCCAGCCGGACAACTTCTTCCTCAACCTCCTCCAGCCGGCCATCTCCCGCTCCCGCTCCCTAGTCGCGTCCCTCGTCAACGCCCCGCACGTCGACCAGATCTCCCTCGTCGACAACGCCACCACCGCCGCCGCGATCTTCCTCCAGCACTGCGCCTGGTCCTTCGCCGAGGGCCGATTCAACCCCGGGGACGCCGCCGTCATGCTCCACTACGCCTACGGCGCCGTGAAGAAATCGGTGGAGGCGTACATCACCAGAGCCGGAGGCCACGTCATCGAGGTCGATCTCCCTTTCCCCGTTAAATCCGAGGACGAAATCATCACCGAGTTCCGCAAAGCCCTGGCGAAGGGGAAGAGCGAAGGGAGGAAGGTGAGAATCGCGGTGATCGATCACGTGACCTCGATGCCGGCTGTTGTAATCCCAGTAAAAGAATTGGTCAAAATCTGCAGAGAAGAAGGCGTGGAGCAGGTTTTCGTCGACGCCGCCCACGGAATCGGGTGCGTGGACGTCGACGTGCAGGAAATCGGGGCCGATTTCTACACCAGCAACCTCCACAAGTGGTTCTTCTGCCCGCCGTCCGTCGCCTTCCTCTACTGCCGCAACCAATCGAACGCCGGGGGGGACACGCAGTTACAATTGCATCACCCGGTTGTGTCGCACGAGTATGGTAACGGGCTCCCCGTGGAGAGCGGGTGGATTGGGACGAGGGACTACAGCGCGCAGCTGGTGGTGCCGTCAGCGGCGGAGTTCGTGGAGAGGTTCCCCGGCGGGATCGATGGAATCAAGACGGCGAACCACTCGGCGGTGGTGGAGATGGGGGAAATGCTGGCGAAGGCGTGGGGGACGAACCTGGGATCGCCGCCGGAAATGTGCGGGAGCATGATCATGGTTGGGTTGCCGGCTTGTTTGGGGATTGGGAGTGAGTCGGATTCGTTGAAGCTGAGGACCCATTTGAGGGATTGCTTTGCGGTGGAAGTGCCGATCTACTTCAACAAGCGCCGCCATGATCGTCGTGGAGAAGAAGAGGCAGGAGGGGTTATTACTGGGTATGTTCGGATTTCCTATCAGGTGTACAACAAGGTTGAAGACTATGAGAGATTGAGGGATGCTGTTGATAAGTTGGTTAACGATGGGTTCACCTGTGCTTCCCTTGTCGAGCCCGAATCGGATTGAGGCTGTTAGATCGATCGGAGAACTGCTGGGTGGTTTTGTTCTCCTGGTATTTGTAACCTTCTTGTGTTTTCATAGAGAAGTGATCAAAGTGGTAGCTTGGGGAAGGAGATAGGGAATAAAGGACTGTGGGGATGAATATGAATGAATGTGAGGAATGGAAGCCATCCTCAGTCAAGTCATATTAACGATACACATCCTGTATTGTAATGGCGGTTTCACGATTGTGTGTGTGAAATGTCAATTGAATTGAATTGAATTGGTGATGGTTGAAAAGGCTTGGCTGGGATGGTACGAGACAGGGGCAGGGATAAGGTTAGGTGGTTTAGGGTTGATTTTTGATTACCCTAATACTGCGGCCCTACCTTGTCAAATGGCTTTGTTCATAACAAGGCTAGGGGGACAATCACCTCACTTTTATTTTGGGCAAATCAACTACATACTAGCAGCTCTCGAGATCCAATCCAACCATGGTATTCACAGTATGTTGACAAACGTTCTCATAGGTGTTACACGTACATCTAGGAATGACAATGGGGAGAGTTTGGGGTGGGCTTTCCTAAATCATACTCATCCCGTTTTTAAATACGCAAATCCATAACCGACTCATTATCCATGTGGGGTGAGGATTCGTGATAGAACCCGCTGAACGGAGCTCTACCTATTGATTGGAACTTGGGGTCAATGAGAGAATAACCCTAGGTTTGGAATTGCAAAGGGGAAGGGAAAGAAGGAAGTTTGGAAAATTGAGGGAGAAGAAGCAGAGGCTGCTCGGCAGCTAGAGGTGACAATTGGATCGGATTCGTGAATTCGCGGATTGGATTGATGGATCCATGGATCAAATAGATTGGATCCAATGGATTGGTGGATTCATGGATTGGATCAAATGGATTGGTGGATTGATCCATGAATCCAAATGACATCCAAACCTTGGACCAAAATGTAAATTTTGAAAAGTTTAGGTACTAAAATGTCCTAATGAAAAAATTTAGGTACCAAAATGTAATTTCCCAATGATATTTTTCGTATAAAAATATAAATTTTAGGTACCAAATGTAAAATATAAAAAATATAGGTACCAAATCGTAATTTGTCATTTGGATCCATGGATTGATCCATGAATCCACCAATCCAATTGGATTTGGATCAAATGGATTGGATTTAAATGGATTGGATTAAGTGGATAATTTGGTGGATGGATTGGATTGGATTCATGGATTTGGATCCTAATTGCCACCTCTATCGGCAGCCAAAAGGGAAGGGGAAAGGGAGTTTCAGCCGAAGGAGAGAGAGGAAAGATTAGGGTTCGATAGGTTTAATCTTGCTTAGTGGCCTACTCCCACGTACAAGTAGTTCATATAGTAAATGGATAATTTCCTACTGCTACCCAACTTATTAAGTATTCCCAAATTCCCGAAATAGTCCCAATAATCCTAAATAGCAATAAACCGACAATAAATCAAAGTACTAAAATGCAAGTTTCTATCAATTCATAACCCCATCTCATTCTCACGACTTTCAGGTACCACCAGGTAATACCCGCTCTGTGTACCCAACATAACTACCTAAAATTCAACATGTATACCTTAACTTATAACACTAAACGGATCTAACAAGTCATGAAATCGACAAAGCCACAATAATTATCCTTTTTTCAGCGAGAGTTGATCTTGTATACCAAGAAATAATTTGGATGAGACGGTATAGGGCGGGGGAGTCTAAAACCATACCCGTCTCATCCTCGTCAATTTTTTTTGTTAGTTTTTACCAATACCCGCCTCATACATAGTCAATCCGGGAATTCCTGCGTTGACTAAGTCAATGACAGTCGGTTATCCGCGACGGTTGATTTGATTGTCATCCTTACGTTCATCGAATGCTACTTAACTCAACTCCTCCCTCGCTCGCCTTCTATGACATGTGATGTGGACCAAAACCCTAGAGCAATGGATGGAGGCTGTAGGTATGTATGAACCCCAATTCTCAGTTGTTGAAAGCAATGATTGTGCAACCTTACTAGAAGTTATGAAAAAGTTAGAAATAAAGTAATTTGTACAAAAATCGTGATTAAATTGGGGTGCGTCCGTTTCATACAATTTGGATCCAACATCAAGTATTTCGGATCCGACCTGCACGGTACTGTAGGTTTCCAATGCAATGGTCAGAAGTCAGAACTTGGAAGGAGAGATCCGAGCTTTACCGAAAAGTGGAAATGGCATGCATCCTAGCCCAAGCTCAAGCAAGGTTCATCCCAACCCCAATCCATCACAGAAGATTCCTTCAACTCCATTCGGGCCTTCTCTCTTCATAATACGCGTATTGTTGGGCCAAATTCTCAGGCCCACAAGTCCACGTTCTTGTCACGTTTGAAAGTGGACACGTGGAAGAAGCTGACGTCTCGTCTGCCAACGCAACAGAATGGTAGACCCCAACAAACATTTGGCAATTGGCGCGCCCAAAGTCGACAAAAACTCAAAACTCAAACCGGGATGCGGGCCCCGAACCAAGGTTCGGGTTTTGTCATATCCACTATTCAAACGTGGGAATTGGTAGGCTCGGGAAGCAAACCAACCAACGAACCGAAAATCAAAATTTAAAAGGGAAGCGAACCGACACGGCTCTCTGCATTCCCGAGTCAAGACAAAGACCCGATTCCCCTTTAAAATCCAACCACGCCATCTCTCTCTCTCTGGCTGTCTGTTTGTGATTTATTCCCTAAATTAACTCTCTAATTACATTTAAATCTTGTGGCAGAAAATGGGAAACAGTATCTCGACGTCACATTATCACAATCTCCAAATTAATATTTTTATCTAATTACCCGATAATTAGATCCAATCCGAAATCTCTCTTATTTATAATTCCCTCATCTCTCCGACTCTCCCATGCTGCGTAGTAAATGCGGGCGGTATTGGTCTACTCTAGTTGACTAATCAATAATATTAATACTTAAAATTAAAATAAAAAAAACAGAGCAGTAAACCACGGAAAAAACAAAAATTAAATACGGTAGAGAGAAAAAAAAAAGGAAGAACCCTAAAAATATGCAGATGCAGTCGACAGACTGTTTGTCTTCTTCTCTCCCTCTTTCCCCAACCAGCTGACTACCGAGGGAGCGAGCCAAAGAGCTCTCCAGTGTCCCGCCGACTCCTCCCACCTCCGTTTTGCTTCAATCGATCATTTCCAGTCGGAAGGATGATTTGGTGAACAGAGTTCGACTCTGAAGCTCCACCTTGCTCGTCAGACTCTGTATCAAGAAAACCAAAGCTTCTCTGGTCCACCGACTCCAAGCTTCTTCTTCTTCTCTGCTGCTTCTGATCGGAGAAGCAGTGTAAACAGGTCTGTCTCTTTCCCCGCGTCTCTGCTTTTTAATTTGGTTCCGCTTCTGGTAATTTGACAAAAAAATTCGACCCCTGGATTCCCGCCTTTTTACCATTTCCCTTTGCAATGTTTCAAGATGCGTCTCCATTTCAGGGTTTTCTGCAGCCCACTTCCTCTTTCCCCCTTCTTTTCTTCCTTTCAGCTGTCCGTTTCTCTCCTTTCTCCCCTAGAAAAGGGCCATCTTTCACGTTCTTATGCTGACTACCGTGTAAATCATTTCAAGGGTTTTTGCTCTTTAAATGTGTGGGAAATTATTGATTGGTAATGTTATTATATTTGTAGATTGGGTGATTAGACCTGTTGGGGTTTGGCTAAATTAAATGAACGGCAACTACTCTCATCACATGCAACAACAGCAGCCTCAGATTTCGTCTTCAAGAAAATAGCTCCCACTCCCGCAAATCATACCCACAAGTTAAGAAGGAAAGAAAAGAAGGTCAACTTCCTTCCGATCCACATCCTCTGTGTATTGGGGAAGGAGAGTTCATCTTCCATTGTCATTCACTCGCAGCTTGCTTTGCTTTCTGATGTCGGTTCTTGAAAGAAGTCTGTCATCCTCTTCATCGTCGTCTTCCTCGACGATCTCGGTGGGTTCGGGTGAGCGGGAGATTGACCCGTTGCTGAACGATTTGGATGAGAAGAAGCAGAAATTCAGGCGCAACGTGGTTTCTTTAGCTTCAGAGCTCAAGGAAGCCCGTGCCCGCCTCTCTTCTCAGCGTGAGTCGTTTGCTAAGGAATCGTCGAGCAGACAGGAAGCGGAAAACAGAGCCAAGACCATGGAACAGCAGATTTGTAGACTCCACCGCACTTTGGAGGAGAAGAATTCTGAGCTCCAGGCCTCTGCTTCTACTGCCGAGCAGGTCCCCCCTAATCTCCCACCACCCAATTCTTTTTATCATTTTTACCTTTCCATTTGGCTTTTGGCTTTTGTGGGTTCGATCTTTGCCTGGAATCTGCTTTCTCTCTTTTGCATGAATTTGGAAATCTTAATCATGATCCCTCAATAATGGATTTGTCTTGCTTATAGTTATTCTTTGATCCGTATATTCCCCCATCCGCCTCCATCATCATGAATAGTAATTTTTTTGCCACGACCTTTTTGCCCTCTTTTGCTTGTAATTTCCCCCTTGTATTGCTTCTTCCCTTTTGTAGAGGAGCCCACCAGTGTGGTAAGCGACCTCCTTGGTACAATAGTGTGATTGATTTATTGGAACTGTCTCCATAGTTGGAAATGTTGAGGGTTTCTCTTCCCTTTTCAGCTGGTTCGTTTAATCCTATGCTTTTGCATATAAATGATTATGCACTGATTGAGAAAGATTGGTAGAAGTGGTCATCCATCTTCTTCGGTGAAAATCATAGTTAAAGAATTCCCTAATGAGAACCAACATTTGGTTTGGATGATTAGCTGTACCATGCTAGTTAGAGCTACCACTAATACATACCCTGCTTTATTGATTACCTACTCTTGCCTGGTTCCATTAAATACGGGTGCCATTTTGAGAAGTCAACTAGATTGTGCCTAAGCCAAATGCCCGTTTGTTGATCTTATTTAGTATGTTGGTTTTTGCTGTCTGTTGCCATTTATGGTATAGTTACTTATCTGGTTTTTGGTGTCAACAAACTGTATGAATTAACCTGATGTGGAAGTGTGATGTTTCCCATCTGGGTGCAGTACCTCAAAGATATGGGTAGTTTGAGATCCCAGCTCGCAGCAACTCAAACAACTGCAGATGCAAGTGCAGCATCAGCACAGTCTGCCCAGTTACTATGCTTGACATTAGTGAAAGAGCTTGAATCCAAAGCCAGTTCTTTAAAAGAGCATGAAGATCGTGTCACTAGACTAGGAGAGCAGTTAGACAGCTTGCGCAAGGATCTCGAAGAAAGGGAATCTTCTCAAAAGCAGCTCAAAGATGAAGTCTTGAGAATTGAGCATGACATTATGCAAGCAGTTGCTAGTGCTGGGGATAGCAAAGACTGTGAGTTGAGGAAGATTCTAGATGAGGTGTCGCCTAAGAATTTGGAGAAGATCAATAAGCTTATGAGCGATAAGGATGACGAGATAGTGAAGTTGAGAGATGAGATAAGGGTCATGTCTGCTCACTGGAACCTTAAGACCAAGGACTTGGAATCTCAGGTGGGGTTTTATCCTTTTCTTCTAGTACTGTCATTTTCAAGTTCTTGCAAATTTTGACTTTCAATTATGATTTATGAGTTTTGATCATGTTATTACAGTTAGAGAAGCAGAAACGAGCTGATCAGGAATTGAAGAAGAGGGTTTTGAAGCTGGAATTCTGTCTTCAAGAAGCTCGTTCCCAGACCAGAAAGCTCATAAGGGTAACTGATTTCTCAAGTGCCTTTACCTTCAACTATTAACTTCTTTAACATGCGTTTTCCATTTCATTCTTAAACACTGGAATTTTGTTGGAGCAGATGGGCGATAGAAGGGACAAAGCGATTAAGGAGCTTCAGAACCAGTTAGCAGCAAAGCAGGCAGTTGGTGGTGGATTCAGCAGCAACGAAAAGCACAACTTTTGGGAGAACTCCAGCTTCAAGATTTTAGCTTCCATGTCCATGTTAGTCCTTGTTATATTCTCAAAGCGATGAGGATAGTTTCGATTTAGCAAGAGGTTTGGAGTTACGGTGTATAGGTGTTCCTCTTCCCCTGTTGGTTAATTCAAGGGGGGATCAGAAGAGAGGTTTGTAGAAAAGGCACTTTGTAGTAGTGGCCATATGTGTAGGTCTGGTGTAGTGTAATGCAAAGACTAATGTGTAGAATATGTGGTTCTGGCAGGTGCAATGCCCACCACAGTAGAGAACTGAAAAGCCTTGAACTCCATAGAAGCATCTTTCTTTAGTGTCAAACAAAATGACCGTTATGTAGATTTCACAGTGACAAAGACTGGAATCCAATGTGATCTCATTTTGGTATGCTGGTGGATGAGTACGATTTGACTTCTGTGACCCCCAAATGCAGGCGATGATAATGATCCTAGAGACGATACTGTTCAGTTGACTTATGTGGTAAAATATCTATTGAATTAGCCGTTAAAACAAATGATTGATTGGAGCACGCCAAAATCCTAACCAAGTCTTTTGTTATTGGAGTGCTAGTAATCAATATTTCCACCAGCTAAAGTAAATGAAAGCATAATTTGTAGGAGATCGCATATGATAATGTTCTCGTTAATAATTTGTCATATTTGTGATGGGGGGCTGATTTAGTATGTTGTTCTTCAATGAATCAAGCATATGTAAGACTATTGTTCATAGGCCCTGAATGTGCTTACAAGTTGATTGTGTTATTGGCTCTCTTTATTGTCTTTCCTGGCTATGGTGATGCTCGACGAACCTCGCTTCTACGCATCAATTCCTTCATCTCATCTAAGTAGAAGCAATCTCTCGCCATCACTATGTCGAATTTAACTGATTTGGTCTTTACAAGCAGATTCATCGGCACATCAGGCAGGGTGTGCAGAATCAATACCACTTCTGTCACTGTGATTCACATCAGAGGGATATACATAGAGTAACAAACAAGCTCAATTATTTTCACTCCACTAACCTAGCGATCCAGCACCATTGATGATGACGATAATAATCATAATAGTAATTACTAGCTAGCCATTAAAACATGTATGTGATCGTAACATATGATATGAATGGAAATGCAGGTTCTGCAATGAAAATCTTTCTACATCTCCTAACGTTGTTCCAACAGCCCTCCCTCTTAAACAATAGCAAGCTAGCTAGCTAGCAACGGCCAATAGCGTCCTCTAGTAAGCCTAGCCACCGTGGGTACAACTCCATCCGCCGTCATCATCCATGCAAACTACAACTTCGATCTGTACACTACTCGGGAACTAGATCGAGTTCATCCACTGTATGAAGCCAGTGTGGATCAACTCTACATGTCAAAAACGACTACTCCTCCAATGAAGGACGCTGCCAGTACCACGAATCCAAGGAACGGTTTTGAAACAACCGAGTTGGAACCGTCCATTGGACTCGGGTTCACTCCAGGTGGGATATCAGTCCCGAAAATGCTGGGCGTGGCACCACCAGGGCTGCTCGAGTTCAACACCGATGGAGGAGTGACAGTGGTCCTGTGGAGTAAAAGTAAGAGGACAGAGTTCTATGAGTTTGTGACCTACAGAAACCTCTCGTTTTTCAACACAATGAACAAATGAATGAGTGCCTTACCCTGTTGTCCCCATCCCTGCAGGAGGAGATGAATTAGTTGTGGCAGGATTCGTGACTGGAATTCCACTTGATGTTGGTGACATTGGAACTGAAGGTGTTAATGGAGGGGCTCCTGATGTCGTGGCTGGAGGAGACGAAGACGACGAGGATGGTGGTGTCGACGATGACGATGAGGACGATGGATAGACGCAGGTGCCAGAACCTATTTACAAATGCCATAACCCAATCAGAACCATCACATGTAGTTTTCCTAACATAATGGTCACTAACTAAGCTTGCCTAATCCGTAGCAAAACAATCACTTTGCCTGGCAGCAGTCAGATATTGTCAAGTAGTCCAGATTAACACCAAAGTTAGCAAATACACAGATCCTAGATCCAACTCATTCTTGAATAGGAAACGGTTTGGCTATATAAGGTAATTTTTGCAACAATGCGACTGTTCTGTAACAAAATGGCTTTGCCAGTTCAGTTGCTAAGCTTTGAAGTCATGCTTCAGTACTAAAAGGGGAGCAAGAATCTTACTTGGGTTGCTACTAACGACAGCAGCGGCGCCTCCAAAATCACAGCTGGTGGCCGTAGGGTTCTTCTGGTAATAGCTATTGAACGCAAAGGAAGCATGGTTCTGAAGCGTGTTGGGGTTGTAGCAGCCCGAACCCTGCTGGATTTGGGAACAATCAGCACCACCCATTCCGCAAGCATAATCCAGAGCAGCCTGCAGAGCCGCCTCCGAAACCCCTGACTTCGCCACACACCAGCTCTGCCCTGGAACCGCCGGCGCATTCCCGCCACCACCAGCAGGCGGCGCAACAGGGTTCGTCACGGCAGGTGGAGGAGTAACACCACCACCAACGGCGCCGCCGCCGGCAGCGGGAGGAGTGTATGAGGTGGCAGGATTGGTCACCGGCGGTTGCCCCCCTGCCCCAGCCCCTGGAATTGTAGCAGCTGGTGGAGTGGGAGTTGTTGTCGGGTTAGTGATCGGCACCGGAGAAACCCCTCCTCCGCCGGTAGGGTTAGCGGGAGGGACGGTGATGGGTGGTGTGACGGAGGGGATGGGGAGAGTGGTAGTGGGATTTGTGGGGGTTAGGGTAGCAGGGTTTGTAGCCGGGACAGTGATTATGGTCGGCATAGGAAGAGTAACTCCTTCCTTCACCGAATTAGCTGTCCCAGTTTCAGCCAGCTCCCTTCGGGAAGAAAAGGAAGGAATCAGAAGGTTGATTTGAGCGTAGATCCGAGCTAATCGTCCTGCAATGGCGGAGGGAGGAGACACGGCGGTGTGATCTGAGAGGAAAACTCGAACTGCTGCTGCAGAGTTTGCTCCGCCATTGTTGTACGGCAAACCCAGAACGTTAACTGCCCCTGTAAACACACTCAAGGGAAGGAGAAACAGAGAAGCATTATAAAGTTGAGTTCTTTCTTTGTTTTTCTGACTACCCATTTGAGAAACCAAGTAAAGCTGAAACTACTACTCACCGGAAGATGGAATGAAGAGGAGAGAGGAGCAGAGGATGAAGGAGAGGAAGCAGATGGAAGGCGGCGAGGCGACCATTGTTGAGGTTGGCAGAGGGCTTGTGAGGGAGTGGAGTGGGAGTAAGAGTTTTTCCACAGAGCTCAAATGGGGAGTTCTTATTGAGTTGGGTTTGTGGCTTTAGGTGTGCTTAACCAGCTCCATCACAGTAAAGGGAGAGAAGGTGGGGAAAGTGGAGAAGGGTTTTGCTGCCCTGCTTTTGCTTTCTCTCTCTGTGTTGATTTTTCTTCTCCTTGAGGATGATATGATAAGGACACATCAGATAGGGTTAAAGTGGGGAAGATGGTTACTTTCTGTCGAAGGATTTGGGGGGGAAATGGGAAATGGGAAATGGGGGGATCATGGTATGTTCCCATTACCCACCCCCTGCCTCCTTTCCTTTGCTCTCTATATCTTTTTATCTTCTTCTCACTACTTTTGCAGTGCTTTTAGAACTTCTGCTTTCCTGCCAAATAAAAAAGGGACAATTGGGCGGGAGATGAACACGAAATGGAAAAGCTAAGTTAAGCAGCCTGGAAAAACTCCAATGGATAAATTTTGAGAAAAGGGAGATGGCAGATTGAAGCCAACCAGGTGGTAAGGGGAAGGGTTAAGGAAATGAAAACAGAGGGATTACGGGGCTCAGTCAATAGTTAAAATTACTCTGGAGAAGAATTAAGTGACGAGGGAGTCGAGGTCAGGGGCATGTCTGCTGCTGTCCTTTCTTGTCTGGCCATGCATTCCCAGATATTTGTTAGTGCAGCACTTATTAATTATTAGACTTAATCAAAGGTAGGGACGGTAAGAAGTAAATCGGCTGTGCTGCTGGATAGTAGTAGGATACACATGGCAATGGCAGGAAGGTTTTTTTCACCAAATGGGAATCTGTATTGCACTCTTTAATGATTTTTTTTTTTTTTACAAAGGCAATACTTGCATTGCAGTTTGAATGATCAATTACAAGAGAGCGAGGGTCGTTTGGAAGTGGAAATGTAATGCAGTAATTGGACCCAATTACCACATAATGCAGTAATTGGGTTAAAAACCCACGTTTGGGAGAGCAAAAATGGTATGGAAATTGAACCATGGAAATTGGCTTCAATTACCACATTCATGGTAATTGAGAATACTACACCTCCCCCTAGTAATTTGACATTACCACGTTTTCTTACTTCTTTTTCCAAATTCCACACCATCAATTCCCACAAAACTAAACCCTATCCAAACGTGATTTTTTTTTTCAATTTCCACAAGTCAATTCCTTGGTTTTGTAAAACATGGAAATTCAGACAAATTTCAACGTTTTAAAATTTCCACATCCAAATTACCCAAGCAAACCAAAAATAGAACAAGGACAGAAAAACAGAAGCAGATAGATGCTCAATCCGAGCTTCATAAATACAACAAGAAGAGCACAAAACTCAGAAGGAGTCATCCACCAAAGGATTTGAAACACTTGAACTAGAAGCAGTAAACACTGAAAGCTCTCTTGCAATCAAAACAAACGAAGTAGCACCAAGCGCAATCAGCTAGTCCGATCCGACCGAGTCCATGACGATTGAACACAATGTCATTAGCCGCCTCCTGGGAGTCGCTCAAAGACGCTCAACACAGTGAATCACGGGTGAGAGATTACATGGCGGTGGACAGAGATGAGGATCGAAATGCTCCGAGCTGAAGAGGCAGGGGAAGACGAGGCTCCAAGACTTGGTCAAGGGAAGCAGAAGAACCAAGATCCCCAGATCAAAGAACTGAACCCACAAGCAGCAAGGCTAGATTCTGCATTCCATCCTCCGTCGGCCACCAAGATGCAGAACAACCACCTGGGAAGAACGAAGGGGAAAACCAGAGAATCGATTCACCACAAAAGCTGATAAACCGACCATCATGAGGGAAGACCCAAGATGCATAACCCAGCCCCAAAGGAGAGCAAATTCCAACAAAAAACCCTAGAACAGGGGAGCGAAATGCCAAGAATGGCTTGAAAAGCTTGAAAGCTGGAAAAGCAGTGAAAAAACATCAAAATCAAAGACAAGGAAGCAAATAAAGGGCGCAGGAAGGAAGGAAAGAGGATGGGCTACCGCCGGTCACCAAGAGATGTCGGGCGGCAGTCCTGGGGAGCTTCACAGAGAGGGGTAGAGAGGGATGAGAGCAAAAATTTGAAATAAAGTTAGAGAGAGAGAAATATACTTTGAATCGCGGCTCATTTTGCTTCGCACTTCGCGCACTCTTTAATGATGAGAGGGATAAGAAACCATATCTACATCTCTACACAATATATTATACATTTCACTCTAACTCATTGTTGCCACCTTGCACTTTGATTGGTTCTCCTTATTTGGTGGAAGGGCAATTTTGCCCATTTTCCAAAACCCAAGGGTCACTCATTATTATTGGACTTTTGGTTTTCTTTTTTGTAAATGAGATTAGGATTAAGGGAAATGAATATTTATTTTAAGGTAAATGCTATTATAATAATATTTGAAATTTGCTATGCGTAGATTTATTTTGTGTGGTTAAGGAAAAAACAGAGGTTATTTAAAGTTGTTTACCTCCTGAATGAGATAATGACTGCGAATTGGATTTCAAGATGACGAAGATGATATATTGTTGTGGCGTGGATATTTGGGAAGAGGTTCATTCTGAATAGATTTTTTCGCATTAGTTTTTACGTTAAACAGATAACCAAGTATCAACCCTCAAAAGGTTTAGAATCTTAATTTCACAGTGACTTCGGCAAACATGAAGAGGAAGAAAAACGGAAAATCTTGGCAAATACAATCAATTTCTATTGTTTTTAATTATTTTAATTTTCAAATAAGCATGTCTATTTTTTTATATTTAATTTGAAAGGTACGATCACATGCTTAGTCGTAGGTTAAACAATATTTCCATCCATATCGTATCGACTAGATATTTGCGTCAAATTAGATCAAATAAAAAAATAATTGAATTCAGAGGTTATCTAAAGTTGTTTAGCTCCTAAATGAGATAATGATTGTCTACGTTTGGGAAGAGGTTCCTTCTGAATAGATTATTTCGCATTAGGTTTTTACTTTAAACAGATTAACCAAGTATCAACTCTCAAATGCTTTAGAACTTAATTTCACAGTGATTTCGGCAGACATGAAGGGGAAGAAAAATGGGAAATCTTGGCAAAATATAATCAATTTATATTTTTTTCAATTCTTTAAATTTTCCAATAAGCATATTTAGTTCTTTACATTAAATTTTGAAAGGTATGATCACATGCTTAAGTCGTAGGTTAAACAATAATTCCATACATATCATATCGACTAGATATTTGTGTCGAATTAGATCAAACAAAAATTACTTGAATTTTATTTAATCTATGTAATTGCTTAAAGTCGAAGAATTATGAATGAATCGCAACCATATCAAAAGTTCTTTTGACTTTCATCTTTAATTTCATTTATTTTTAGTTTCGTTCTATCATAATTCATTGGGATCATAGACCATAACAAACCTGTCAATACAAGATAAGGTTTTATTAGAAAATTATTAAACGTAAAATATGGTCCAACGGAACAACTTAAATACTTCTTCCACCTAATTATGCTATTATTTATATATATACTATTTACATGAATGAATAGTTCCATTAACGATTCCAAAATAGTTGTATAACGATAAACCATTAATCGTGAGTCATTGACATTTTTCATCTGACAAACACTTCACTTTTGAAAACATAGGATATAGTTAATAAAACATTTTAAAATATGAGCATATTGTTAAACGTTAACTTTGAATTCTGATAACTAAAGTTCAAATGATGAATAACCAAGGCCATTTCAAGTTCAAATATTCTTTTGCTAATATTTATCATTTCTTTTAAAAATACAAATTTAATACATCTATATTAATATTTTTGTATCGTACTTGCTCCACATAATTTTCTAAATAATCTATTTTCATAGCACATTATTTTCTCTTTTCCTCAAAATTTTGTATCTTTAAATTATTTAAATGTAATACATGTATAGTAATATTCTACACATTATTTCCTTTTTAATTCAGTAGATGAAAATCTAAAATATATAAATCAAAATAGTGATATGTTAATTAATTTTCAAAGATTCATTTGCAAGCTACTTATTTCACATATAACGAAAATAAATATCTTTGTTGAAATTTGTTGTTTTGATTAAGTGATGTTTAATATCTCAAGGCATGAATATAGATTCTAAATAGCTTTTCATTTCATTAGTTGGCTATTTTAAACTTCTTATGGTTAAGTATAAAACAAAACACAAATTCAATAAGAATTTTAAAGTTAATGGACACTCAAAAGTAAAAAAATATAAACTAGCAATGTACTTTTTCGCACCACCAGTATACAATACTAAAAATCATACTAATTACGTTTAACTAAAAAATACTCGATGGCCACAAATCGGCCAACGGGCCGGATACAACACTAGTTTTCATAATAAGAGTTAAGCGTTTTGGGATAAATGGCTAAAAATAAATCATGTTTGAGAGTCGAGAGATACAATTAAGAAAAGTGAAAGCAACCATCAAAAGGAGTTGAATTCTTAATCGAAACACAATACACACAGAGTCTCTCTAGCTTCTCAACCACACAGAGTACCAATAAGATTAATTTCAACTAATCCGATCACATTAAAGTCTATGACGATTGTTATAAACACGTTCTAACAGGTTTTCGGATCATGAGGAAATGGAGAAAACTAGCTAGATCAATTAAAGATTGATCTATCTACGGATTAGAGAAAAGATGGGATTTGGGAAATTGAGAAATAAGAAGGGGAAGGAAGAAGTGAAGCTACGACAGCCGCCTTTGGGGGACTTTTTCCAGAAATAGCACTGTTTATCCCCCCCCTCCCAAAAAAAAAATAGCACCTAGTCTCGAAAAATTACAAAAATAGGACATAATTAAAAAAATCATGGACCAAACCGCAGGGTTGGGCAGCGTTTTTGGACCATACCGCTCCCACCCCGAGCGGTTTTCAAAACCGCCCCGTAAAACCGCTCCCCCACCTAGTGGTTTTCTTGTAAATCGTGGGTGGCGGTTTTCAAGAAAAGGGAGCTATTTTTGAAATTTTTCGGGACTGGGTGCTATTTTTGTAAAAATAAAACTACACAATGCTATTTCTGAAAAAATCCGCCGGAGAAGAGACATGACAGAGAGAGATTAGATTTGGTGATTTCATGTTATGTAATTGCTTAATGAGTAATCCCACTAGTTATAGAATATATATCTCGACTAATTTCCGTTCCATACCCAACTAATATGACTTAACAAAGTGTTCCCTAATTATTCTCAAAACCCCCCAAATAATCCCTAAATGTCTCAAATCATAAATAACGACAAATAAGTCCAAATGATAAAATATCAAATATTTGAATTTCTAATAGCGATTGAGCGGAACAATGTCATATGCCGCCTCCTGGGATTGCTAAAAGACGTCCAACACGGTGAATCTTATAACTGGGATTGCGTGGCAACAGACAAAATTCCGAAACAAATTTCTCAAAGTTGAAAAAAGCAGAGAGATTATTCATTCACAACCTCTAATGAATGAACCCAATCAGATTAAAGAAAAAGTGAACTTCAATTAGGGGTGAGCATTCGGTCGGTTCGGTTCAAACCAAACCGAAATAATGCATACCGGGTCCCCGAATTTCATCAAATCTCAAACTGAACTTGTGAGGTTAGCTTGTATCTTCTCTCTTTTAAATTATTTTTCACCCCTAATGTAAACAATAAATATGCATCATCAATGATAAAATCAAACATTTCAACACATAAAAACACTAACATGATTCAAATATTTAAGTCTCATATTATGTAGAAACACAAAAATCCACCATTTGGAGCTTGCAATTATAATATGGTAAATTGCAAGGTTGGTCATTGAGATTACTAAAAACGTTCATGCTTGGTCACCAAAAATATTTAATTCCATTCATGGTCATTAGAATTAATAAAACAGTCCAAATTTGATCACACTCTCCGTTAACTTCCGTTAGTCTCCGATAACGATGTCAGTTTGTTGCTGACGTGGCTAACAGAAATGCTGATTCATCATATTTTAACGTTCCACGTCATAAAATTTGACCCGCCACATCAGTTTTTTCAAACCCAAACCCAACCTGTGACCCGACCCTAAACCCAACCACCGCCTCCCAACTTCTCTCCCCTTCAATCTTCCGGCTGCTCCCCTTTCCGCTCATTCTGCGTGGATCGATGATGTTGGATGCGAGTGGCGGCGGGCGGCTGTGATGGAGATGAAGAGTGGCGGCAGGAAGGAGGCTGGGCGACGATGATGCAATGGTAGGAGGTCATCGATGGCACCAGAAATGTTCAAGTGCTGGGATTCATCTATCTGCCGGAGAAGAAATATGAACCACCATTCCTTTTGCTGCAAATCAAAGATCCCATACAACATATTAAAAATAAATTTCGATCCCTAAAAACCCAGAGGAACCGCTATCCCTCGATGGCGATGGCGTTCTCGACACCGGTGCCTCGCACTCTTTTTCCTCGTCCTCACCACCGGCAGAGAATTATCGGCGACGAGTTGGAAATTAAATGGCGATTGCGAACCAGTCCCCGATCGGGATTATGGGGGACTGCTTCTATTTGCCGGGTCGACCACCTAGGACGCGAGTGAATCGGGAGTTGGAGGAACCGGCGAGAGAAGTCGAGCATGAGGGCCGGAGCTGCGGGAATTGATCAACGAGATTCCTCTCCCAATCGGACATGCAACAACAGAGCGTGTCGAGGACCACTTGTTCAATCGCGATCAATATTTTGCCCCTCCTCTCTCTCGCTTACAAGGGACGCAATCTTCTGGTTTGAAGGTTATGACTTTTCTAATTTTTTGCTTGCTTTTCTAGGGTTTGATTCTGGACAAATAGAATTGAACGCAAAGAGGGGGATTCTTTGAATAATTGGGACCGGAATTAATTGAGGGATCAGCTCACTAGTCACTCTTCCTCCTTCTCTGCTCTGCGATCTCGTCTTCAAATTTCCATCCCGATTTCCTCAAACTCGCCCGAACCCACTCACCGTCTCCAGCTTAGTCAAAACCGGCGGAGGTAACACCGCATCAACAACGACAACAGGGGAAGCTTAAAAGAAAGTTGTCGACGATGGTGGTAGTCTCAAAAGGTTTCGCCGACGTTTGTAAAAAACATTTCCGTGAACCGCGTTTCCTCGTCCGAAGACTCGTCCTCGTCGTCTTCACCGGCGCTGGAGGAGAGAAGATAACAGAGAGAAATTAAATATTTTTTGTGACCAAACATGAACGTTTTTAGTAATCTCAGTGACCAATCTTACAATTTACCCAATTATAATAATTCGGTTTTTCGATTCGGAATTCGGAAATATGTCCTTTTCTCTTTCGAATTCCGAACCGAATAACATTAATTCGGTTTCATTTCAATTTATATTCGGTTCGGTTAGGTTCGGTTCGATTCCACCGAACCGTATGCCCACCCCTACCTTTAATCACTAATTCTCTACCGCTAGCCTTTGCCCACGCATACTTTGATCGTTGTCATTTCTAGTAAGAGCCGAAATTATGATAGCACAACCCCAAAAAGAGCAAAATATCTAATTGAGCCGGAGCCACGTCGCCCTGCCCGATAATGATTTAGGTTTCAGCAATGATAATGATAGTATTTTTGTTTCTTTCTTTCGCCGCAATGCATGCAAGAATGTCTGGATTGCCACGAGAGCTGACTGTTCTAATCACTTCCTCAATCACCAAAAGTTGAAGGAATCTATCATCATCTTCACTCCTTTCTTGCCCTATTATTTATCGAATTCTTATTTTTTCCCCCTTTCAGAAAAGATGGCTTTAATTAGGGCTGGTGAGTGGTAATCGATATTATAGGTTAACAGTTTAACTGATAGGCAAGTTAGCGGGCTAAGTTCACTATCTGGTCCTTGATAAACAGTGGTGATCACCGAACAATCTAAGATATCAAAATATCTTATAACATAAATAATGGATTGTACCAAACCATTTTTAACAATCTGCCCGTTGTACTAATTTGTACGATCCAATTTGATCCATGATTACGTTGTTCACACCATGTGGTCTACTTTCCAGACCTACTAAGAGTGATCTTGGCAATGTGGATGTGGTCAAGAATTCAATAACCATCGATAAGCTAGACATGCAAAGGGGTGGCTTGCCAGCACCAAGGCTAAGGCTCCTCCACCTTCAACCTCACAGGTTTGGTGGAGTGTTTCCCTCTTCCCTCATCATCCAAAATAGAAGGCAAAACGACCCTGTGGGCTGTGAGAAGTTGAGAACTAATATGATAAGCTAGAGATGCAAAAGTAGGACCAAGGCTACAACAAACCTTCCAAATATTTTACAACAGCATCCTCAAATGAGGAAGTCGTAGATGTTACAACTCATAAGAGGTAAAGTTGACAAAATATTAGGAATACGTAGCTCCATGGAAAAGCAAAATGCATCTTATTGGGAAATCGTTGTTACAAAAATGGAGTCATTTCAACTAACAAGTCATGTCGTCTATGACCTCTTAGTTGACTGATTCTTTAGGAAAAAATCTCAAGTTACACATGTTTTTAAAAAAAATTCTCAAAATACAAACGTTATGAAAATAATTCCCAATCTACGCATGTTTGGGCCATCACCGCTGTCGACGAAGACAGTGATTGCATCACCGTTGTCGACGAAGACAGTGATTGCATCACCGCTGTCGACGAAGACAGTGATTGCATCACTGTTGTCGACGAAGACAGTGATTGCATCACTGCTGTCGACGAAGACAGTGATTGCATCACTGCAGTACACGGCCGCGGTGAATGCCTGACCTGCGTCGAAACTTTAAACAAACGTAACTTTGTGCTCGGTTATCCGATCGTAGCGAAATTTTTTTTGATTCCGCATAATTTTTCGAGATCTTGCAAGCCGCAAATTGCCGTAGGCGGTTTGGTCCCGCCTTCGTCTTGAAAATATGTCGTTTGCTACCCCGAACGAGCCTTTTTTCGATTTCGTCAAACTTTGAACGACCATAACTTTGTGCTCCACAATCCGAAAATCATGAAAATCACTGTCTTTGTCGACAGCGGTGATGCAATCACTGTCTTCGTCGACAGCGGTGATGCAATCACTGTCTTCGTCGACAGCGGTGATGCAATCACTGTCTTCGTCAACAGCGGTGATAGCCTAAACATGCGTAGATTGGGAATTATTTTCATAACGTGTGTATTTTGAGAATTTTTTTTAAAAACATGTGTAATTTGAGATTTTTTCCGATTCTTTACCACCGTTCTTCAGAACAACTACCACCTTCGCATGTGTTTCGACTTCTTGTTTGTTACAAAACCCTAGACATGAGACTCTTAGGATGTCGAACCATATGCAACTAGACACGTAGCCCTAGCTTCTCAGAAACCCTGCCCAACTTCTACCCAAGCTGCTGGAGCTGTAAGAGTTTCAAAAAACTTCAGTAGAAGTCCCTTTACATCCCGAGCTCCGAGCTACATACATGAGTCAAATATTCTCACTACACCCGCTGTTGTAAAATAGGCGGTGACGGTTTTGTTCGGTTGCCGAACCAAAACCATTAGAAACCGAAATCATAATTAGCCAATTGCTGAAAACCAAAACTGATAAGCCCTTAACTAATACGGTGTCAGGCAGAGCAAACTAAAAACAAGCCTTTGATTACATTAAGACTTATCAATTTTTATCAGTTTATTAATGGTTTTCGATTTTAATCAAAATCAAAACTGTTATACGCTTATCGATTTTTACCCATTAAGAAAACCCGACAAGCATATTAAACCGATTCAATTTTGGTTAAAGCCAAAATCAAACCGTGACGCTTACCCTAAACCATAATTCCCAAATACTATCTTATTAATTTCGCCGCATGTTGAAAACAACTTACTAAAAGAGCTTTAGCTGGGGATAAGATATACTGCTAATTCTCATTAGACCAATTGGGGAGAAGATAGAAAGAGTGGAAGTTGCTTGCTATTTTATTATGAAGATGCATGAAGGAAGCAAGAAAAAAGGGCAGAGAGACAAGACTCATCACTCAAGAGAACAAATCCTCCCACATGGATTGATATCCGACTTTGTACAAGGCAAAAACATAAATGAAGAGAGAGAGAGAGAGAGAGAGAGAGAGAGAGAGATGAATCAAAAGCAGCTTCTGTTGACTAGGCCTGATCTGCAGAAAGCACACACATCACCTCCTTTACAGAACACTACCGGCGACCACTAACCTTACTGCCACTTTTCCGACGTATGCATGATTACAGCTCTAGGGGGAAAGGAAAAGCATAGGAGCAATATTCCGCCTACCAGAATTCTCAATCCCCCTAACCTTCACGATGTGGAATCAGACTACTACAAAGTTTACAAACCAAAGTTAAGAAGAAACTAAAGCGAACAAACAGGCAATTGGGTTGTGGTTGGGGCATGTTGTTTCATACCCGCCGCCGAACTTTACAGTTCGACGAAACGTCCCTACTGCCTCCCTCCGGAGTGCGGGATGATCACACAAGATCCATTCTTATACTACTAGTCTTTACAAAAAGGAAAAGACACAAGAAGAAAAGGATGATCAGCATCATCATAATATAACAGGGACAGGAAAAGTAACAGCACTCACACAGAAGTCTTAAATCAAATGTCCCCAACTTCAGGCACCAACCAATGTCAGCTATGCAATAGGTTTAGAGCTTGTTAGTTATAGTTAAAAGGGTTTATAAAGCAGAGAAACCCACATTACTCAGCACCATCTCATTCTCATCCCACAATGGCAAACCCTTTCCTAGTACGAGCAACCATCCCCATCCAATTCTAGCGCTAAAGTCGGGAGTTCTGAATCACATTCCTAGTACTCTATCCATTCACCCTGCCTCAACCCTTTCTTTTTCCTTTCCTTTATCGAGTTCCACAATTCCCATTATCTCTCCAGCATCAGATTAAAGATCAAGCAGAATAGTCTAGCATGGAGATATATAGAAATCAGCATCATTCGTTGGTGCAATCCTAACTACACTTAATTAACTCCCTGGACAACTTAACACTTTCACAACCTCAATCTATAAATACCCTGCTCATCGAGCTTTCCCTAGCACCTCATGTGTGTTCATGTATAGGTAAACAAGCAGCGGGACTGAAAGAAGCACCTCTAGTGTAGTGGCTGTTTCCGCTTGTGACTTGACTTCATGAGTTAACCTCCTCCAACAAGTCGCTGAAGAAAGGATCAAAGAGTGCTTCTTTGGCTGAGTTGTACTGGTCCAACCGCTTCTTCAGTGAGCGCATCTCTCTTTCATGTTTAGAAGAACGTTCCTGACACAATCATGTACGTAACCCTTCAGTGGCATATCGTTTCAGCAGATTAAGTACACAGCATGAAAAGTATTTTGATAATTCAAAGAAAGATAAACACAAACAAGATAAGTAACGACTTACAAATGATTTCTTCAGAAGCAAGATGTCAACCAAGTACAGCAACCATAAGACATTTGTCCTTGGGTGGCTGAAGACAATTAAAAAAATAATCAGCGGAGTATAACATACACAACTATATACGAAGTGAATCAATGAACTGTTAAGTGCATCATATATGGAGGGATGTGAATTTTCCTTCGCCGTCTCATTAAAGTCCCCCAGAAGGGGAATCCTACAGATAAGTTGAGAAATGATGGAAGAGTTTCCCCTTCCCGTGCATCCATTTAAACCTTACATTCTTGCTACATGGATTTACTAATGGTTCTGATTTGGTCTATTTGTGGACTATGATCTTACCATTTACATCAAAGGAACTCCTAAGATGAAGCACCACCGGGTAACTATTACTTTCATGTCCTAGATCAGGTTTCAGAACAAGAAATATATTTCTTAACAGAGTAGGTAGCAAGTCAGACAGAAAATGAAGCAACAATGTCCTGCAGATTTCGACTAATGATATGAATGAATTGGCTTCAAAGCACAAAGAGATCCTCAATCATGAGAGCAGAGACACAGAATCAATTACATTACCTTCCTTCCCAAATATCCTGTGTTACCTCCTTCATCTTTCTATATGTTTCTGCCTGCAAATAGTAGAAAGAGATTAAAAAACCATGCAGCTGGGATTCTAAATTCACTGACCCGACATTATCAATTGATTTAGCTTTACCTGTTTGTCCCCCTTTGGTCCCTTGAACAAATAAGGCTCAGATGACATATCAAAGCAGAGTATATCTTGACCTGAGTGAATAAGAAATTGTTAGTTCTGTTGAGTTGAGCAGAAATCTAATCTCAGCGAGATAGAGTAAACTAGAACTCACCAGTACAAATTCGGGACAGAGTGAAATCAATTATGGATATCGACAATCCAAATGTTCTGAGAATCATTTTCTTTCCTTCGAGGGTAAACTGCACTTTGGTGCAATCATTTCGACTTAAGAGAACATTTCCCCTGGAAAAGCAAAAGCATCCTTAATCAGCATTCCGTGAACCAGATGATAATAAATAATTGAGGACATAACTGAGCGTACCAATGAAGATCCCGATGTTCAAATTCAAATGCTGCTTCTGCAACTGCCAAACCAGACACTACCTGAAATGCACACAGTTCATCGATTCAAACACAGAAGATTCCACATTCCAGCTGAAGAAAAGAAAGGAGCAGCTTTTAGTTACCTGGACGAGTAAACTACGTGTTTCATCAAAGTTCTTAAGCACAAAGCTTTCAAGGTCTTTACCACCATGTTCCAATATAAATACCACATACCGCTGTAGAGATAATTAACTACATTAGAGCATAGCCAGTAAAGATAAATCCTGTTGAAATGTGTTGTATCTGGGAAAACAAACTATCACCCTTAGCAAGATTTCAGTTTCCCTGCATGCACAGCAGACTATTGTCTTGACTAGAAGCTAAAATAATTTTGAGTAAACCAACATGTCCAAAGACTACATTAGATATACACTTCGCACCTGTTTCTCAGGGAACCCCTTAGGATGATCATTTTCTGAATCATTCTGCTCGTCCCAATCTTCCCATGCTCTAATCAATACAGGGTCATAAGGACCTTGGCACACCCTTAACCTGTCATGCATTTTAAGTACCATCATCCATTGGCCAAAACACCTTGTCGTCAGCTCATTTAGTCATGACTCATGATTCATGCCATGTCCAAGTCACATATCGAAATGAGGAAGCAAGAAACATTGTACCAGAAACAGACAATAATTGCTGAAAGGAAAAGAAAGGGAAACAGAGGGAGGGCTTCAGGAGGTAAGAGTTAAGACACGTACTCCAGAGTTTCTATGAATGTTGTGCATGCATTTTGAGCTGCAGCATCCCCTCTTAGAGCATTAAGAGTTTTTGAAAGTCTGACCTCCTCAAGGAGTTCTTCTGATCTCTGGAGACATCAAATGATTCAGTGATAACTAGAGGGTAAAGAAGTCGTAATACTCATGAGGAGTTGCGTAAGTTGATTCAGTTTTGACAAGAAAGCTTTGCTGATTCTGGATAACAAACGCCTCACTGAGAAGCAAATAATTCCCAAGTTCAACCATGTAATGCCTAAGTTTAAGTTCGAACCAAAGATCGATACCATAACGAATACCTTTTGTATTTCTCCATTAACACGCGAGTCTCCATCAATTGGTACTAGTTTACAGACAGTGTTGCCCACTTTAAAGACTTCTCCATAAGTGCCTTCACCCAGTTTGACAATATCTTTTGGGTCGCTGCGGGAAAGACATTCGTAAGTCTCATGATATTAACGATGCAGAAGCTTTGCATGCAAAAGACACTAGGAAGCATGAATGTAGGAAAAACCCAGAAGATTGGTTGTGGAACAGAATTACAAAAGAGAGCATGGAGAAAGTAGTGATAAATAACAAACCAGTAATTGGAGAACACATCTAGTAACGTTGATGGGGCTGATTGGCCACAGTAAGCCAACAGAGCAGGGAAAGGATCCGCAAAGTCAAGATCCAACGAAGATGTCGAAGCCAGAGACAGCTTCTTAATAGCTGCCTCAATGTCTCGGCATCCATCACCAGACATAGTTTCCTCGCCGCTGTCTGTCTGGGCAACAAACTGATCTTCCAAGTAAGCGTGGATTCTTGCCAGGGTGGAATGCTTATACGAACGGATATTGGAGGCAGACTTTTCTGGGGCCTTCAACTTAAACCCTCCAACGCCATTAGCGGAACGCACGGCCGGAGTTTCAAGTATCTTAGACAATGTGGTGGATAGATTGGAGTCGGAGTTGAAGTTGTGTGAGATTAACCAATTGGGTAATCTGGAAGAGACAGGCTGGACGGCAGCAGCAGCATCCGCTTCATTGGTTGCGACCCAAGTGGAAATGTGTTTGGGAGAAGGACTCTCTTCCAGCAGATCGAAAGCATCCACCTCTTTGAAGTATTCCCGTTCTTTCTCAAAGTTTGGAGGCTGCGGCTGCACGCCGTTCAACAAGACGTTAAGATCGAGCGAGAGAAAAAGTGCTAGCTTGGTTACAGTTAGTCAGTCAGAATGTAACTAGTTATACTAGACCTAAAATGCTAAAAAAAAGTCCACAATTCTAGAGGGTGAAGAGAGTGCGTACTCTATGAACAGGCGGCTTTCCCTTTCCCTTCCCCTTTGCGTTCCCGTTTCCCCTGGGCGGCGGCTTCTGCTTACCCTCCCTCTTTTGAGGCCGATCGTCTACAGAAGCGAAAACGGCGATGCTTACCCTCCCTCTGTATGGAAACAAATTTCAGCAATGGCGCACTTTCACGAATTCAACAGAACGCTAATAGTAACATCCAGGGAAGAATAGAGAGAGGAACCTGGTAGAAAGGGAACGATTCCAGCTGACTCGCTTGACGGGAGGTGGAACAGCGAAACTCGGACGATTCAGATGGCTGGAATTGGACCAGGGAAAAAGAAAAGAAGCATCCACGAGCGTAAAGCGCAGGCAGTCGGAGATGATTTCGCAAAGGAGGAAGAGAGGGCTGACTTACAGTGAAGCGGGAGGCGGCTCCGGACGGGATTGGGGGAGCCGACGCCGGTAAATCGCTTGGGGCTGCTGATTATGATGGCGGCCCCCTTCGCCTTCCTCTTCGGCGACCAGTTCCGACCACAAATCTCGATTGCTACTACGACTCATGATCGTGAATCCGGATCGCGGTTTCCGATGAGAGCTTGAAATTGAGAGACAAGAATGTGATTTTGATTTGAATTCAAAAAACAAAAAGCATTTGGGAGGGAAGATAAGAATTTAGAGTCGACAGTGACTCTGGCAGTAAGAGCGCGCTGTGAATCAGCGTCCCCGCACTACTTTACGGAAACCACCACCCAGTAATCTATGTGGGCCATCGAAGATCCATGTGGAATTAGACGACCTAACATAGGATCAATTGGTGGGCCAGAGAGTAAATCTCATGGGGTTATGCTCAGCGCTTAATTGAAACAGGCCACTGACTGCCTACATAGCTGATCATTTTTTTTAAGGTTAAATTACAAGTTTGCTCCCTCTGAATTACTAGTAAAATTTGCGTTTTTCAATAGGGTTACTTTATTTCATCCGTAGTCACTTAAATTAGTTAAACCATTCAAGTTTGGTCACTCTTCGTTAGTCTCTATTAAATTTTGCTGACGTGACAATCAATTCTGATAGTTGACCGTTAAATAAGCGACGTGACAAATAAAAAATAATTAAATAAATAAAAATAAATCTTTACCAAACATTTCCCTAAAAAAAAAGCGTCATGGCCACGTTAGGCTGGAAAACGACCGTCGATCTAACACTCCCTTTGTTTAATCTCGCTTTCTATCTCCGCCTTCCACTTCCACGGTAGAGAAATCTCCAGTTTGTCTCTTGAGACCCAGTGCCGCATTTCCCCGGTCTTCTGAGCTTCGGAGGACGATTGAGTATGGCTGCCACTAATCGGAGCGTGGCGGCATTCTTGCTGCTGATGATGCTTTGTGAGTTTGGCGGCGGTGGTTCGCGGCGACGATTCGGAGCTGACGATGGTGGTGAAGAAGGTTAAGGGGAAGAAGAAGTATTGTACGAAAGGTTGGGAAGACGATCTCTGAAATCGAGGATCTCGCGTGACTGGCCACCTGCGTCGGCGTCCTGGTCTTGATGAAGGTCCTGAAAATTACCCCTCCAATCGCCTTTCCCTACTCTCTGCAGCCCCACCAGAAACAACCGGTGTTCCTCCTCTGCAGGGGCGGAGCTACATTGGCCCTAAGGGGGCCCCGGCCCCCCAAGAATCTCGAACTTACGTGTAAACGGTTTAGGATAATACGTATAAACAAGAAAGTACTTAATAAAAAGACAAAGCGTGCAAATTATAACATGAAATTTGAGTTAGCCTAGCGGAATTGGCAATTTAGAAGGACCAAATGGTCACGGGTTCAATTCTTGAGGTGAGCATATATTTTATTTTTTTGCCTTTTTGGTAAGCAGTAGCCCTCTCCTTTCTTTTTTGGAAGCTAGTTATTAGCTAATTCGACTATTGTCATTATATTTTTTTATGATTTGTAGTGAACTCAATGTGAAAAAGTTTTGAGTTTTAATTATAATAATATGTTTTTAAAATAATTTTTATTACTAGTTTTTCCTCTTTTGGTGTAACGTATTAAGAAAATTCCGGCCCCCCGATGATTAAATCCTGGCTCCGCCCCTGCCTCTGTCCATGGCACCCCTGCAACCAATTTCAATTAAAATTAAAACTCCCCTAAAGTTGAATCTTTTATACTGATTTGAAGTAAAATTATGAAAACCCAATTACCTCGTGTGCGCTCGCGGCTCCTTCCGGAGGCGTGAACGACGTCGTTGGACTGGTACCCAAACAGCATAATCCCACCTCCCCCGTCGTGTTGTCGCCTCCGTCGCCGGAATTGACAGTCGTAACGGCGGTGTCGCCGTGGCAGGTTCGGGAGTTGTGGCCGTTGTTTCCGCAGTGAGAACAGTTGCGAGACATCTCTCTATGCCTCTACTCCTCCGTGGCTGCTTCTCCAAGAGGAACACCCCCGTCGCTCACGCCGTCAGGTTCTGGGATTACCGGTCCTTCATCCTTGCTTCCTCGCTCTTCCAGCCGCTCGGGTTCTGCACCACCGGCGGGAAGCTCATGCAGATGAAGGAGCTCGCCGCATTTCTTGCCCATGTCGGCAGCAAAACCACTTGTGAGTCAAGCTAACCACCCTCCTTCTATCTCGAACTCGTTTTGGGTCCCCAAATCTTCTGTTTTGCGATAGATGGTTCGAATTCATGGTCCTTTTTTTGTTTTTTTTTTGCTCAATTGAGGGTTGAAACTTGAAATCGAGGTGGACGGGAGTGGCGGCGAAGATATGGGAGGGGGATCCTGCAAAATGGGAAGCACAAAAGGATACACGACAGACTCGTGCTCCTGGTGAGAAACAACATGCAAAGGCGATGAAGCAGGGAGAGTATTAGCAATTGAAAATGTTATTCGCTCCTCGCCATCCCTTAAGACTAAGGTCCCATCATGTACATCTATGAGAGCCTTGGCGGTGGCCAGAAAAGACCTTCCTAGTATAAGGGACACTTATGTGTCTTCATTGATGTCCAAGACAACAAAATCCACAGGATAAAAGAATCTGCAAACCTTAACCAGAAGGTCTTCAACTATGCCCCTAGGATGAACTATAGATCGGTCAGCTAGTTGAATACTCATCCTAGTTGCACTGGGTTCACCTAGGTCTAGTTTCTTGAATAATTTATATGGTATCACATTAATACTAGCACCTAGATCCGCCAAGGACCTCTCTACATGTAACTTACCTATAGAGCACGGGATAGTAAAACTACCTGGGTCCTTCTGCGGAAGCTTGTTCTGCAGAATGGCCGAGCACTCCTCGCTTAGCTCCACAGTGGCTAGCTCGCTCAGCCTCCGCTTCTTCGAGAGAAGCTCCTTCAGGAACTTCGCGTACCTAGGCATCTGAGATAGTGCCTCCATGAAGGGCACTTGAACATGCAGCTTCCTAAGCATGGCCTAGAAGTTTTCGAACTCTGCCTCTAGCCTGTCTTTGTGAATCCTGGTGGGAAAAGGGAGCTTAGGCTTATATTCAGCCACCACTGGTTGTGGCTTTGGAGCTTGATCCTCTGGCTCCTTTTCCATCACCAGGTCTTCTTCCAGCTCTGGGGTGATCTGGGTCACCTTCTTGGAACTCTTCTACGGTGCATCCGCAATCACAGTCCCACTTCTCAGCATAATGGCGTGCAACCCCTCCTTATGATTTCTGGGATTCGGCAGGGGTTGGCCAGGAAGTGTGCCAGCCGATCTGGAAGCAAGGGCATCTGCTAGGTGCCCGATCTTGGTGTCCATATCCTGCAGGAGTGCCTGCTGGTTTCTCTGGCCAGCTTCAATCCCATGAATTTGTCTGCAGCCACTTCCATGAATTGCTCCAATTTATTGAACTTTTGGGTACTAGTGCTGGCCAATGTAGTCACTAGATCCCTCAATTCTGACATGGGATCGCCCGATGCTAGGACTGATGGAGATGCACCAGGCTGCTGGTACTGCTGTTGTGGGGGCTGTTGAAAAGCCTTCCCCTGTCCGGGCTGATAGAGTGGTTGCTGATGCTGCATCTGGCCTGGGCGAGGCTGGTATGGCTGCCTCTGGTTCGGAAAACTAGCTGCAGGAGCTTGGAAGCCAGGTGGCTTCGGATTGCTGTTGCCAGTCCAGGAGAAATTTGGATGCTGGCGCCATCCCTCATTGTAAGTGTTATTGTATGGATCATCGTGCCGGATATTGTTGATGAAGTTCACCTGCTCCTGAGGTGTACTGGACTCACGCATGGCCTGGCAGTCCTCTACAGTATGATGGGCGCTCTCGCACCACTGGCCACGCATTGCCGGCTGCTGCCCTGTCCCCGGAACCATCCCATTCCGATCGATGGCTGAGACCAGTTTAGAAACAACCTACACCAACTCAGAAGAGTGGATGCCCACAACATGTACACCTCGGCTTGGTGCTCTCCTCGACCTCCTAGCAGTGCCCCAATCATACCCTTTCTCTGCCATCTCCTCAAAGAGCTGATTCAACTGCGGCGGCATCTTGGTCAGCATGTTCCCGCCACAAACCGAATCAATCAGCTACTTGTCTTCTGGGAAGAGGACATGGTAGAAAGTGCCCACCTTGAAAGCATCATTGAAACCATGATTGGGACACCTCAGGAAGAGACTGGTGTATCTCTCCCATGCGTCCCGGATGGTCTCATCTTCATCCTGGGTAAAGTGGGTGATCTGCTTCTGCAAGTCCGCCGTTTTTTTACGGAGGATGATAGCGGGTGAGGAACTTGTCCGCCAGGATGGCGAACGTGGTGATCGATCCAGGGGGCCTGGTGTCCAGCCACTCCTTGGCCTGCCCCTCCAAAGTGAATGGGAAGTACCTCAGCTGGATGGCATCGCCTGGGACCCCATTTATCTTGATTCCATCGATGAGCTCGTGGAATCGCCTCAGATGTGATCGGGGACACTCCCCCTCTTTGCCACGGAATACTACCGAGCCGCACAACATAGTGATGACCAAGGTGCTCACCTCAAAGTTGTTGGCTGGGACTTGAGGGTGCTGAATGGACGACCTCATGTCCGCGGCTCTGGCGGTCCAGTAGTACCCCATGGTTTGCTCCTCGGGAAGGACCACATCATGGTCATGTGGGTCACCCATCTCTTCCTCCTTGGTGGTTTGCAGCTGTGCTAAGGCCTCCTCCGCAGCCAGTCGTGCCTTTAGAGCCCGCTTGAAGTTTCTACAAGTTCGTTCAAGCTCTTGGTCTAATGGTAGTAAATCTCCCGACTGGCTACGGGTCATGCGCTACCTGCACACAATCAGTAAAAGCAACCCATGAAGGCACATAGGTGGAAGAAAGAAAATGCAGTAAAGAAAAAGCTAGAGTAACAAACTTTCACGTTTCCCCAATAACCTAGAGGGTCCCCAGCAACGGCGCCAAAAACTTGACACGCTAAAACACAACACCAAACTGCAACCAAGTATAATCGTAGTCCGGAAATGCAGTAACGGGCAAGCTCTAATTGTCAACCCGGGGTCTAGATCTACTGCCTACTCCCTGTATATCTGTTATCTAACAAACTAAGTCGAGTGATTGTGGTTTTAACTAAAAGCAGTAAGAACGCAGGAAATGGTTCGGTTTTCTAAATCAAAGGGAGAGTCACTCGGGAATGAGTCCCCCTAGCTCCTTAGTAAGGTCTCAGTTGTAATTACCCTGGGTTGATTAACT